ATATTATGTACATCAAAGTGTACATATAGCAAAGTCCTATTAAAAATGAGATAATTCTACTTGTACATTATGACATCCATAATGGATGACATAATGTACAAGTGGAATTATCCTATTGGAGGGTGTGCTGATGGGCCAGCACACCCTCCAATAATGTACTGTCACTTGTACATTATGTCATTCATTATGGATGCCATAATGTACAAGTAGCACAAGATGGTCAGGGATGACAATGCAACTGCCTCACTAGTTTGGGAACCACTAGTGCAATTTTCTTTTGACGATCAACAATATTTCTGAAAGTTCCCTACCTTAACCTGCCACCGTTAAAACGGAACGACCACGGCTAGGATTGACCCCACTTTTCCGTCAAGAAAATGTCGTCATAACAGCCGTCCAGTACTATACATTAGCTATAGTTAGGTAGCACCCCACCCTCCACAGTCCTCTGTAGAGCAGGAGGAGACAACCTAACCCCACGTTATATGAGAACAACACATTATCATGTACGTAGAGAGAGAGAGAGAGAGAGATGAATCAAGGCGTGTAATAAGCTGTTTCTTGGGATTCTGAGCGGTCTTCGTTTCACATCTCCCTTTGAAATATGCATACGCTCTTTACATTTTTGCTTAATAGAAGCTGGTTTTCCTGCGCCAATGTAACCGTCACAGCTTTCAATTAGCCTTTCAATTCATTTTATATGCTGGGTTTTTCCATTTGTAGTGTTTAATGCTTTTAATACTGTGTCAGAGGTGAATTCAGTTCATACATAAAGGAGTGTAGGAAGGTGTATATTATATTGTTTTTGTATTAGTCATAATCAATTATATGAACTTTGAGTAAGGATTTGAAGATCAGTTTCTTTATCAAAACAAGAGGAGCTTAAATCATGGCAAGGTCATTTTCTCAGCAGAAAATCAGTTCTCCATCTGAAGGTTAAAAATTTAAATTGATCAAGATTAATTATTTTTTTGGTTCTCCCACAAGTGTTTTTGTTCCTGTTTGGGAAATGAATTTTGGGGTTTTTTTCTTCTTCTTTTGAAATTTCAGGGTATAGTGTTGAGGATGTTTTGTATCCAGAGCTATGGAAGGCTTGTGCAGGTCCGTTGGTGGATATTCCAAAAATGAGAGAAAGAGTTTACTATTTTCCACAAGGTCACATGGAACAAGTCAGTATTTTATTACTTCTAAATTTTCTTTTGTGGGTGCTTGAAAGTTCAGATCTTTGTATAGAATAATGGAGATTTATTCCTGAAATTAAGATAATCTTGAATTTCTGTATGTGGGATTTTTATGGGATTTAATTTGGAGTTGAAACTTGTGCTGTTTTTGGGGTTTGTTTAGTTGGAAGCATCAACAAATCAGGAGTTAAATGAGAGGACACCAACGTTCAATCTTCCCTCAAAGATCCCTTGCCGTGTTATGAACATTCAGCTGCTGGTATGGTCGTATCAACCCTGTTCTTCATTATACTTTTGTTAATTGTGAAATCTAGTTGAGAAAATATAGAAGTCCTCTTTTTATGCTAAAGGTGAAAAAGATCCTGGGTAAAAATGTTAAAGTAGCCTTCTTTTGGGTTCGAGGCGAGGAAGGAACTTGCAGCACAACGACTCGGTAAGAAAAATCGTGGATTGGTTAGGGGTGAGATAGGAGTAAGGGTATATTGAAATATTGGCAAGAAAATTTCATCTTCTTAACCCAACTTGTCTTTCCCAGACCATAACCTCGATTTAGTTTAGTTTAGCTCATAAACACTTGCTGTAAATGTGCAGAAAATTTTGTTTTTATGGTTTCGCAAGCAAAAGTATTGCAGTGGTAAATTTAGTTGTAGAATGGTTAATAAATCATGATACGGATTGTTTTGTAGGCTGAACAAGAAACCGATGAGGTTTATGCACAAATTACTCTGATGCCAGAAGTAGATGTAAGAAAAAAGTCTTGCATCTTTTTTTATTGGAAAAATTGTTATATTTGCTTGCTCTCATAATTTTTAGGGATCAAGCTTGCAATTTATTAGTATGCAATCTATGAAAGTTTGAGTTACGATTGGGTGAAACTATTTGTAGCAAATCGAGCCAAAAAGTGTATATTCACGTGCTCTGGAGCCTCCTAGGCCTACTGTTCACTCGTTCTGCAAGGTTTTGACGGCTTCCGATACAAGTACTCATGGTGGATTTTCTGTCCTTCGTAAGCATGCAAATGAATGCCTTCCACCCTTGGTAAAAATTCCTCTTTTGGAGGCTCATTACATCTGTTTTTGAGTTTCTTTTCCATATACTACTGGTTGGCGTTGAGTTTATTAACTGATTTTTAGTTTATTTTGACTATGAATGTTCTTTGATCAGGATATGACCCAGCAGACACCGACCCAGGAACTCGTGGCCAAGGATCTGCATGGGATTAAATGGCACTTTAAGCATATATATAGAGGTGATGCTTTATTTCTACCTTCCTAATGAGCTCCTTTGATTTAGCTGAGACTAAAGGGTCTGATATTGTCTAGCTAAGCTTAAAAAGATGGAAGTTACTTTAATGTTTCCCAACATCTTCGGATAACTTAATATTTTCTACTTTCAAGTAAAAAAAAAATTACTTATGTTGAAAGTAACATTTACCTTACTGTCTAAATTATCAAGTTATTTTCAACTTTAACCAATAAAAAACGTATTTACCTTTTAAATTATTTACTTGTAAGTCACAATTTAAGCTTAAACAAACATGCTCATCTCACAAATGTATTACTTGGCCATAAATGCCATTATACCAATACTGATCAAATAAATAGGCATGTAGGGAGTTGAGTATGTTGATATCAAATACTACATTTTCATGGATGGTAATTCATGTATATTATCCAAACTGAACAGGCAAACCTAGTAGGCACTTGCTTACAACGGGATGGAGTACTTTTGTCACTTGTAAGAAATTAGTTGCTGGAGATTCTTTTGTATTTTTGAGGTACTTGTACAAACTTACACACCCTTCAGTGATTATAAGTTGCATCTGACAATGAAGCCTCGGTTTTCCTTTTTCTTATATATTGTTATCGTCTTACTGGAACTCTGACTCTAGGGGAGAGAATGGGGAGTTATGTGTTGGAGTTAGACATCATGTTTGTCAACAGAGCTCCATGCCATCGTCAGTGATTTCAAGTCAGAGCATGCACCTCGGAGTGCTTGCAACTGCATCTCATGCTGTTGCAACCAAGACCCTCTTTGTTGTTTATTACAAACCGAGGTCCGATAATGTTCACTCTTTGTTCACTGGGAATGATGTCCGGATATGAGAATTTTTTTCAAATAATGTGCATATCTATTTACACATATCGTCTGTGGTAAACTTTCAGAACAAGTCAATTCATCGTAGGCCTGGACAAATATCTTGAAGCTCTAAACCACAGTTTCGGAGTTGGCATGAGATTCAAGATGCGGTTTGAGGTTGGCGATTCTCCGGAGAAAAGGTTGCCACTTGCTACATATTCACAAGTAAATCTCATTGCTGTTGGCATGGAATTGCTTTAATTTGTCCTTCTCCACATTATCAGGTTTTCAGGTACAATAACAGGAGTCGAAGATATTTCTCCTCACTGGGAAGATTCTAAATGGCGATCACTTAAGGTTAGTGTATATCCTGATGTTCTTTTGATTAAATTAGCATATGGAATTACTGAAACTCTATGCTGTTCTCATGTTTTCAGGTTCAGTGGGATGAACCTGCATCCATTCCAAGACCTGAAAGGGTTTCTCCATGGGAGATAGAACCATTTGTGGCTTCAGTTCCTGCGAACCTGGTCCAACCATTGTCAGCTAAAAATAAAAGGCCTAGATTGCATGTTCAAATCCCAGTTCCTGGTTCAATCACCTTCCACATCCTTTTTTTCCCAACTTTCTGGCGTTTATATGCATTTGGACTTTAGTTAATTTTGTTGCTATTTCCTATGTGGTAGATACTCCAAGTTCAACTGCATCAGCTGTGTGGAATCCGTCCCACGAATCACATCAAATAATTGGTGCTCTTGAAGAACAAAGGAGTGAACAAATAGAAACTGGTGCCACTCTCGTTAAAAACAGAAACGACGACACTTGTGGATCTCGTTTAGAGGGAGACTTGCTATCTTTTCCCCATGTAAATTCGTCTCTGAATATGTTTTCTGAAGAAACAGGAGACAGCAAAAGTGCATCAGCTTGGTCTATTTTTTCAAACTGTTCAGCCCCAAATTCTGGAAAACGGAGTAATAGTCGCTTGTCTTGCCTGAATGATGAGAGGAAATCAGATACTTCTGCAACTTGCAGATTATTTGGTATTGATTTGAACAGCCCTTTGACGGGTGCTGCCCTTCTTAAGAAATCCTCTCTAAAATTAGTTGATAAACCAAATGATGCTTCTGAAGGATGCATCTCTAATCAACGGCAGCAGTTACAAGTACCAATAAAGGAGTTTCCTAGCAGACAGTATCACTCCACTAGAAGTCGCACGAAGGTATAAATTCACCTTCTACTTTTAACAACGAAGTATTATCTTGATTGAGCGGTCACTGAATTGAAAGAGTAATTAAAAATAACTATCTGTTCCTTTGGGGTGAAATACTTTGAGAAGGTTCAAATGCAAGGAGTTGCTGTGGGTCGTGCTGTGGACTTAACTGCATTAAAGGGGTACGATGAGCTTATAAGTGAAATTGAAGAGATGTTCGAAATAAAGGGTGAGCTTTGGCACCGACATAATTGGGAGATTGTTTTTACTGATGAAGAAGGAGATATGATGCTCATGCGTGACTATCCATGGCTGTACGTATTATTTGTATTTTTCATCTAGAAATATCATTAGACTTCGACGGTTATATGGCCCACATATTTGCTGTACTATTATTTTCTTGTAGAGAATTCTGTGATAAGGTGCAGAGGATTTTCATCTATTCTAGCCAAGATGTGAAGAAAATGAGGGCAGGAAGCAAGCATCCTCTATCTTCATCAGACAACTAAATGAGATGCTTTAACTTGGAAGTTGGTGAAGATTAAAATTAACTTAAACTTCACATTTTCTTGTTCATTCCTGCTTTTTCCTTTTCTCCTGTTAATTTGTTTTTCGATGGAAAAAAGCTTCAGTTTTCTGCTGTTGTAGAGGTCTTGAGGAATTTCTTGTTTGTTTCTCTGATTTTACTGACACTGGGTCGTCAAGATAGATGGCTATAGATAGATGTAGCTTCAGGCTAACAACCAAGAAGACTAGCAGTTTGCGATTGGAAATTTTACGAGTAATACTAGGCTCTACAACAGTTACTAATCGAGGGGTGGGATTAGGGTTAGAATCTGTGTATATCAGAGGTGTTTCTGGTGAATTTGGTTGAGTTTCTTTGTTGTCCTGTATATGTAAATATAAATTTCTTGACATCTGGTTTATATGGCACTAATGTCAACATGACGCACATTGTGTACGGGATCCACTGTATTGCTCTTTCCATGTGGCTTTGGGGCCTAAGATCCAAGAATGCTTTTGCCCTGGATTGGAAAATCAAGAGGCATGCAGCAGCTGCAAAGCCAACTTGATGCTCCTTGAACACATGAATAAGATATTACCACATGTGATCGAGAAAAGATGCATAAAATCAAATGAAAACCCTTGAAAGGGAAAAGTAGCCAATCAGTGATACTTCCAAGTTGTTGATTGGAATGGAATTTGACGTGCCAGATTTGGTAGATTACATCATTTGCTCTAGTTGAGATCAAGTAGATTTCGTGGAATCATCTGAGAACATTTGTTTGGAGTTGCATAAAAAATGGAACTTGTATGACCCTAGCATTGATACCATCATTTTTTTCTCTAATGTAATTGTAGTTGATTGTAATTAACTGATTTATTTTACGTAAAATCTCTATATTTTAAACCAATGTTTAAGTACTGTTTTTCAATCTAGTGTTACTAAGAGCTTGTTTGAACCTCATTATTTTCTAAGAATGCATTTTGAAATAATAGATTAATCGAGAATTTGTGTTTAAAAAATAGGGAAAATTGCAGCTGCGATTCCTAACCTTTTCGTTTTTTGCAGATTTTACCTCAACTTTCACTTTGTGCCACCACAGGTCCCAAACATTTCAAAAATATGCAGCAGCAGTCCAAATGGATGGAAACCAATCCATTTGACCGTTAGTTGGCCAAATAAGTTGATTTTGACCAAATTTAAAATGGGTAAAATGGTAATTTTGCTATTTATCTCTTAAAATAATAAAAACAAAACAAAAATAAAAGAAAACACTGTTCATTGTCTCCCTCCCTCACCCCCAACCAAACTAAATAAGCTTTTTGGCCACCACAACTTACCACCTTGTCGTCGGTGCAACTGTCGTCGCTTCCAACAACCTTCCCCACCCATTGATTCATCTTTCCCAATCCTATCTACGCCTCCATCCCAAAACAAAATAAACTCAACTCATTTACCCTTTCTTGAACCCATGAACTGAGTGTTTTCCTTTTTTATTTAAAACTAAAGATTCTTAGTATCTTCACATTAAACACACTCCCAAAATATAGCAGATTCATCAGATCAGAAATTACAGAAACGCCCACAAAACTCCATTTCTTTTCTTCCACCATTCTCGGCTCCTCAGGTTTTTTGGTTTCCTCATCTGAGGTTTGTTTGATTGGGGATTCAGATTCCAATTTTTGATAAGCGATGGAGATTTCTTGAGCTACAGCTTTAGCGAGGGGCTGACGGAGCTTTTCACGCTCATCGATACTGGCAAGGACGAATGATTTGGATTTAAGGGTTTCTTGTTGCTCTTTGTTTGGAGGTTTTCCTTGGGAGATGAGTCTTCCATTTGGAGTATGCAATTCTGCTTCTTGCAGAGGAAACAAAAACGTTTGTTGATGACGCTGAGGATTGGTTCGTCAGTTGTCAACTCGGCTGATGAGGAAGATGATGCTCTGTTCAACGCCATTGTCGTTATTGGGAAGGATGTGCAAATGAAGGAAAATGTGGATATGGTGAATCGGTGGAAGTTGGCTAGCGGTGGTGGATGTTGATTTTTAGGGGCGGGGTTGAGGGTTGTGAAGGGATATGGGGTGGGGAAGAAGATAACCTTTTTTATTTGGTTTGGTTTGGTTAGGGGTGGGTGGACAATGTTTTCTTTTATTTTTGTTTTGTTTTAATTATTTTAAGAGATAAATAGCAAAATTATTATTTTAATTATTTTTGAAAGGTTTGGGACATGTGGTGACACAAAATGAATGTTGAGATAAAGTTTGCAAAAAACGAAAAGATGAGGGACCGCAGCTGCAATTTTCCCTAAAAAATAAGGAGAAATTTTGAATTTGCGTGTAATATTATTTTATTAAAAAATGTATGATTGAAAAGAAAAAAGAGAAAATGTATTTTGAAGAAAATGAGAATCAAACAAAAACTATACATAAATTTGCCATCTATATAGATCCAAAATTACTGATTTATGAAAAAAGAAAGCCTTCCTTTCCCTTTTTGCGGATTTTTACCCACATATCATCGTATATGCTGCATTGTTTATGTACACGAACGAAACTCCTCAAATATTTTGTACGGGTTGTACTATATGTACATAATAATTTACATAAGACGATGTGAAGATAATTAATTGGATCAAATCTCATGAATCAAATAACTTTCTCACTTACATTTTAACATCCGATCATTATGTAAAATATTATACAAATAGTCATGTACAATAAACATTTTCCATTTTGCATATCCACATCACAAATTTCTACAACATAAATCAGTTAAATAATCCTTAATTTGCCTATTTTCAGCCTCCCTAACTAGATGTGATCTACTGGAATAGTTAGCTCTATCTGTAAAGAACTTAATTCTTCTTCATCAAGTCAATAAAGTACAATTCTTTACTCTGTGCTTGCATTTGCCCCATGTATGGAAGGCTCCAGGGATTATTTTCATCCAACACTAGATTAATTGGAGTTTGTGAAGGAGAAACTCAGAGTACATTTGGCCTCCATTTTTTCAAAATTCATTTTTAATTTCGTGTTCTCCTATTAAGTAATTCTATACGTAATTGAAAATGTTTTCTTTAATTTTAATCACATATTCTCTAAAATATATTCTGGCAAAAAAAAAAATGAGGCTCAAACAAGAGCTCAATATCATCCCCTGTAATGTCTTCCCGACTGATAAGAACCTGCAAGCCCAAAGATGATAATAAGTGAAGCTACACGTGTGATAAGTGTGCTCCAAAAAATTGGCCTAAAGACATGTTTATAAAGTGCACGTGTGATAAGTGTGACTTTTGGTTTTTGAGAGATAATACCTTTTCAGTTATGGTCCGTTTGATTGCAAATGTGGAAAATGGGTGGAAAGAAAATGTTTTATAGGGAATTGATTTGCCTAAAAATTATTTTACTGGGAATTGTAATTAATTGTGTTAGATTGATATTATTTTCCCCCTGAAAAATATTGAAAGTTAGGTGTCCGTTCGATTTCGTTTTTATGGAAATTGTCCATTAAAGTGATAATATTTTCTACCATTAGGTCTAGAATTTGTTCCAATTGAAAAAAAAAATTACCATACCGAATACCATTCGTTTGGCTTTGTTTTATATGAAAATTGTCAATAAAAGCGATTTTTTTTTACACTATTGTGTTTAGACTTTTTTCCAATTGCCTAAAAAAAAAAAAGATGGAAAATCTTTTACTACAAAAAAGGCAAGAAAATCAATTCCACAATTCCAAGGAAAAAGGACGTGTGAAGCTCATCCATGCATGGAAATTTTTTGTCATCAAACAGCAAAAAAGTGGAAAATTTTCAACGCCATCAAACAGGCCTTTAGGGTTTCTTCCTTCTCTCAAAATCATCTCTCCCTTGTTTGATAGTGACTGATTCCTTGGTGAAATTTGTCGAGGAAATGATGTTCCTTTCATTGTTTAGTTCAGATTAGGGTTTGTGGTGTGATTTTGGTGGTTTTTGATGGACACTAACTTGATTTTTGTACATCTATTTAGAAAACAAGTCTTGTGTATTTTTATCTTTTTATCTTTATATTTTGAAACTGATCGTAACCTTGGTTGCCGTTTTGGCCATTTTAGTGCAAAGGAGAATTATTCATTTTAATGGATACTCTCTAGGGGATAAGGCATTAGAATTATTAATCACGGAACCTCTGAGGTTTCGGCTAAAACAAATCTTGTGTTTTTATTTAGATTTCTATGAAGTTTTACTTTCCGCGCTATTAGGTTTTGAGTTTTATTGCTTATAATTGTGTTTCTAGGTGTTCCAGATAGGAATATTGGATACCTCAGAATGTAAATGAACACAACTATATAGCATGATAAATAAAATTAAACTTAAATTAAGTCCAAGTTTAACAGACTCACTCGAATTACTGTAATTATAAAGGGATTAAGCTGGTTGTACAGCTATGTTACACACACAGTTTAAAAGCTTTTCAAATAGTCTGAGGTGGCAGCATTTTGTGAGGGAAAAAAATTGATAAAATAATTAGCCGTTTTGGCCATTTTAGTGCAAAAGGAGAATTATTCATTTTAATGGATACTCTCTAGGCGATAAGGCATTAGAATTATTAATCACTGAACCTCTGAGGTTTCGGTTGAAACAAATCTTGTGTTTTTATTTAGATTTCTATGAAGTTTTACTTTCCACGCTATTAGGTTTTGAGTTTTATTGCTTATAATTGTGTTTCTAGGTGTTCCAGATAGGAATATTGGATACCTCAGAATGTAAATGAACACAACTATATAGCATGACAAATAAAATTAAACTTAAATTAAGTCCAAGTTTAACAGACTCACTCGAATTACTGTAATTATAAAGAGATCTTTCAAAGTCGTACACAGTACCAATCTCATGAGCAAGCCGAGATGCATCCACATGGTACTCATTTGAAAAGTTCCAATGGAAAACGACCTCTTCAAGAGCTCTACCTTCATATAGGAAAAAAAACGCAATTATAAATGATAGAACCGAGAATGAAGACAACGAAATAAACTCTTGATGTCGAAGTTCACAGCTTAAAGCGGTGTAACATTGGAGGTCAGATCTCAACGATGTAAAAGTCTTCATCAAGACTAGGGAATAAAACTCGAGACTTAGTCTGAATGTAAAATCTTCCATCAAGAACCGGGGGTTGGGGGTTGGGGGGGAGTTACCTTACTTTGGGAAAATAGCAGGATTTATTATTAACCATTAGCAAGTTGGTCTTTAACCTTTTATTATAGTAAATAGTTGCACAATTCGTCTCTACAAAAACCGCCCACATCTCCATTAAATTGCCGTGCGGCCCTTATGGAACCGTGCTTTTTTCAAATGGGGCATCAACCCATGTTTGGAAACAAAATTTAGTTTCATATAGTTGGACACTCAACTATGTAATGAAGACTTGGACTCTTTGTTTGACATCCATTTTTTTTTCATTCTCATTCTCATTTTTTTTCTTTTTCTTCATTTCAACCACACATTTTATGAATAAAATAATGTACACATAAACCCAAAAATTAACTTACTTTTTAACCACATATTCTTTCATCAATCACTATTTTTCAAAATGAGTGTCAAACAAGGGCTTAATATCCTTGAGAAATGAAAGATTGATGACCAACTTGCTACTTGGGTAATATGTTGGGAACCAATGATACAATTTTCTCAACAAAATAACTTAAGAAAGGAATTAATTAAAAAGACAAGGATAAAAACAAGAGAGGTTAAAAGTCGGAAAACCTTTCCATGATTAAAATAGATGTGCGTTCACAATGTGCATCTTTAGCATTCTTTAAATGCCTTAGCATATGAGCAGTAAAATCGACCCACACTTCTGTAGCAGCTCGATGAGTTTGACCTTATTGATGAATTAGAATGAGAAGACTCTAGAATTGAGGAAGAAAAGTGGCGAAAAAAATATTATTTTGCTGAATTCAATCTGAAGAATATCAGTACATGTATATATATACAAAAATGTCTAACCACCATGACAGAATGAAAGAATGTGAAATGACTTAAATATCCCTATACTAATGTGACTCAATACTTCCCCTCAGATGACAAATGTATATTTAACACTCACATGTTGCTTAATAATGATTTGAATCTAGCTCCTCCTAATGACATGGTTAACATATCTACAGCATGCTCTTGTGAAGCCACAAGTAGCATATTTACCTCTCATGTTTGCACATTATCCCTTATAAGATGACACAATCAATTTCTATGTATTTCGTTCTTTCATGAAACACGGGGTTGCTAGCTATGTGTACAGCAGACTGATTATCACAGAACAATAAGGCTGGTCTGGTATGTACAACACTTAAATCTTAGTATATTTTTCAACCAACTAAATTCACAAACTGCCGTTGCCATGGATCGATACTCAGCTTCAGCTGAAGACATTGAAACCGTATGTTGCTTTTTAGACTTCTAGTTAATTAATGAGTTCCTAAGAATATGCAATAATCAGTAATGGATCTTCTAGTGTCCGAAAACGTCGCCCAATCTGTATCACAGAAGCCTTTGAGATGCAAATTAGATTTGCTTTCAAAGAGGAGGCCTTGTCTTGATGTACCCTTTAAATACCGTAGCACATGATAGGCTGTCTCTAAATGATGTTGTTTTGGTGATTGAAGAAATTGGCTCAAGACTTGTACTGCATTTGATAAGTCTGGTCGTGTTATTGTCAAGTAAATAAGTTTTCCTACCAATCTTCTGTATACACCAACATCTGCAATTGGTTTTCCTTCATTCTTGCTCAACTTCAAGTTGTGTGGTAAGGGGATATTTGCTGGTTTGGCTCCAAGAGAGCCTGCATCTGTTAGAATGTCCAGTGCATATTTTCTCTGACAAATGGATATCTCTGTTGAATTCCTTGCTACTTTAAGACCTATGAAATATTTCAAAGTCCCCAAATCCTTCAATCTGAATTGTTCACTCAACTCATTTTTAAACTGCTCAATATAGGACAAATTATTTCCACCAGTGATAATGACATCCACATAGATGAGAAGCATAGTAAATGAGTAGCCATCGCGTTTA